AAAAAAAAAAAAAAAGAAGGCTGGCGATTGGCGCTGGGAACTGGTGATGGCGGATTCGCCACAAGTCCGCCGGCAGTTGGTGCTCCAATCTTGGGCTTTTGCGATTTTAGGATTTGCGACGTTGGAAGAAGAGAATCAAGAGTTCATTTCGCTACAAGTCAGGAGAAGATGGTGAGTGTGGTGCGGGTGCATTTTCCTTCTGATATACCGATTGTGGGGTGCGAGTTGACACCGTATGTCCAATTGAAGCGAACCGACAATTCTGTCGTTGCCGATGATGCTACTGAGTCGAACCCCATCGATGGCCATTTTTTGCAATACAGATGGTGAGTTTTTCTTAGTGTGAATCCCTTTTTTTTGTATTTTTTTCTTCTTTATTTGGTCATGATTTGTGCAGTTAGTGACTTCGTCTTTCTGGTGCATGTGCGTCTATGAAATGAGATTTTGAGTTAACCTTCAAATATGGTTATTTTCTTCGAGCAATTTATTTGTTACTTTTTGATTCTGTCCGTAGAATGTCATTTCTTTTCTTTCTTTCTTGTAATTTTAGTTCGGGTTTCTCTCTTTCTCTGGAGTATGTGAACCGTGTTTCATAATGGTTACGTGCATGGATTTTGACTGCGTATTCATGTTTTTGAACTCTCCACTTTCTGATGGAAATTGGTGGAAGGTAGTTATTGGTTCTCCCCTTGGTTAATAGTCAGTTCTTGCATTATGTTTTTCCTGTGCCATTGATTTCTTCTACTCTGTTTTTGTATATGGTATTAACCGAAGATGGTGTTGGCTTATAGTTTGTGTATGGCATGAATCTTGATTGCTAGATTAACAATTTCCAATTAACGGTTTCTGAACGCTAGACAACAATTTTTCTAGTAGCACAGACTCTATATCACCGATTAATGTAAGAGTCATAGACAGTTGCTTTAACACTGCTTCTGGGTATAAATGCATCACTTTTCCCAAAATAGGACTTAGTTTATTTATGTGTTGTCATTTTACATCTGGATTGTATGTATAAGTGGCGTATTTTTTAATATTTTTTGGTAAATAATTGATATATGTAGGTACCGGGTACAAAATAATAAGACCGTTTGTAGTGTTCACCCAACTGAGCAAGCTACGGTACAATGCATTGGATGCTGTAAGGCCAAGTTACCTGTTGCCCAGAGTTACCATTGTTCTAACAAGTGTTTTGCTGATGCATGGCAACACCATCGTGTTCTGCACGAGCGTGCTGCGTTAAAAATGGTTCCTCGAACGGATGGTGAAATATGGTTCGAAGTTGGAAACTCCAAGACATATACACCAACGGCTGATGATATTGGTCATATCCTGAAATTTGAATGTGTTGTAGTAGATGTTGAAACAAGAGAAGTAGTGGCTTCTCCCGAACCTTCTGGGACTGATTATGTGATTTCTGCTCCATCACCCAGTCCACGTAGAGTGATATCTGTTAGTGGAGTGGATATTGCTAGGCATATGGGTATTGATCGTCGTTCTTCATCTGGCATGACATTTTCAGTGCTCTCGTACAATATTCTGTCTGATATCTATGCTTCGACGGAATTATACAGCTATTGCCCCCTTTGGGCCCTTCCATGGTCCTACCGCAGACAAAACCTGTTACGAGAAATAGTTGGTTACCAAGCAGACATTATCTGTCTCCAAGAGGTACACAAACCATGTGGAATTTAACAAATCTTTTCATGGATTTAGAATTTAACTTGAGTTACTTCGTTTGTCATATATAATGCCTGGGTTATTTTCAGTTTATGGACGCCATTACAATGTGTGAATCCATATTGAAAATAGTTTAGATTTAGAACCTCTACCTTTGTAAATTTTCTTTAATCTTGCCTTCCCCCCTCCCCTCTCAGGTTCAAAGTGATCATTTTGAGGAATTCTTCGCACCTGAGCTGGATAAACACGGCTATCAAGCTGTGTTTAAAAGTAAAAGTGGAGAGGTTGGTTGAAGCATCTCTGAAGTTTGTCTGTGAAACTTGTGCTGGTAATAATACGCTTATCATCATTTTACAGGTTTTTGGTGGGATAATGAATACCATTGACGGCTGCGCTACTTTCTTCCGCCGTGATAGATTTGCACTTGTCAAAAAATATGAGGTAACAAGTGCGCCACCTCTGCCTGAAACATGTACAGAACTCCTTTAACTATTTTTACATTTTTACTAACTTGTGGAATTCCTGCGTGTAGGTTGAATTCAACACAGCTGCTCAATCCCTGACTAATGCTTTGGTTCCCAGTTCACAGAAGAATAATGCCTTAAATCGATTGATAAAGGTATTTATAAATATATTTTCCTCTTGGATTTTTATTGTATTTTGTTTTTAAGTTTCATGTCATTTTACTAGGTCATAATAACATTTGATATCTGGTTCGTTCATACAGGATAATATTTCGTTAATCATTGTTCTAGAAGCCAAATTTGGTGGCATTGATAATCCCGGGAAGCGCCAGCTTGTTTGTGTGGTAAGATTTCGCTTTATTCGAATGACGTTTATGCTCCAATATTCGCTAAGATACTAAGCTACAATGGGAATTGACAAGAGCTCTCCTGCTGGGCACCGACTTTAACCTTCATCATGAATAGCTGTGTGAATCTTGTCACCCAAGTTTACTTATGTTGAATGGCGTTTTGGTTGATGTATGGGATAGTGTGTTGATGAAAGTGTTTAATTTAGTCTTCCACATAGTGGATGATCGGGGTTCACATATGCAGAATTTGGGCATGTTCAGTGTTTAGGTCGTAATTTTTGCTGATCAAAATTGATGATCCACTACTTCTAATGACCTGTTTAATAAGAATTGCTAAATGAATGAGCATGCGATCCCTGTTCTGAAACCTACTCGATTTGTCTCGTTAAAGTGACAGGTTACTTAATGAGCCCTTGAATTTAAAAGAGGAATTGTGTTCATGACTTTTACATATCAATCATATGCTTATATTTTTCACCTTCCTTAACTGCAGCTTTGACTGTAGAAGTTGTCTGTCTTTGAATCCTAACTTTTGGTACTTTGAAAGAATAACATCTTCCTTATGTCCTTTCATTTTCCGTAGTGATCAAGTTCTTCATCTAGACCTGTGTAGTGGGATGGCTATTCCATTTAATATCTCATGATCCGTATTGTTCTTGTGTATATGAACACAGGCAAATACACATGTCCACGTGCATCAAGAGTTGAAGGACGTGAAGCTGTGGCAGGTTTTTGTCTGAGGCTATCACTCTCTTTTACTCATTTGCTGTCTCCTATCTTCAAGCCGTGAAGCTGGTTTTTTTAAAAATACATAAATCAGGTCCACACACTTATGAAAGGCCTGGAAAAGATTGCTGCAACTGCGGATATCCCAATGTTGGTCTGTGGGGATTTTAATTCTGTACCTGGAAGGTGTGTTGTTTATTCTCTCACAGCAATACAGCTAAGTCTGATTTTATACAGTTGAAAGCTGAAACTCGCTTATGTCTCTGGGTGGTTGTCTGGTTATAATCATTTGTATGTTTATTTTTGTAACAGTGCTCCACATGCCCTTCTCGCTTTTGGGAGAGTTGATCCTTTTCATCCAGATTTAGCTGTGGACCCTCTAGGAATTCTTCGCCCCATTGCTAAACTAACACATCAATTGCCACTGGTATAGCACAACTGATCCATTCTGAATGCCTAGCATCTGTTGCTATACCCATAATTATTTTTTTATACGAGTGTTGTTTTCATTATTTTGCTTCACAGGTTAGTGCTTACTCATCCTTCGTCAGAGCTACTGTTGGTCTTGGTCTAGAGCAAAGAAGGAAAATGGATCTTGCTACTAATGAGCCTCTCTATACGAGCTGGACCAGAGATTTTATTGGTACTCATGATTACATCTTTTATTCAGGTATGTTCTTGGCGGTATTTTTCTGTTCAAAGCAAGTCCATGGATATCTATCTGATTTAATGTTTATGGGGTCATAATTTTTTTTTTTTAAATTTTCCTCATGTAGCCGACACTTTAACGGTGGAGTCTTTGTTGGAGCTTCTGGATGAGGATATCTTGCGCAAGAACACTGCTCTTCCTTCTCCAGAGTGGTCATCGGATCACATGGCACTATTCGCCGAGTTCCGCTACAAGCCTAAGAGACGTTAATGATAGGTAAGGCTATCTATTGATTTATTCATTCATAATTCCACATTTTCATACTTGACCTTTCTGTTCTATTCCGTCTCTGATTTTACTCATTGCGAATATTTAGTGATTAAGGATCTAAACTATGTCACTTGGGTGATCGAACCCAATA